AGATAAAATTACACTAATATATGTTTAACAACATTGGGGAAATGCAATTGTAAGTATACAGTAAGTAAATGCAGCTATTAAAGATATATTGTCACAAACAATTTCGGATACAGTACCTAATTTTATTGTTTTTCTGGTCATCACCCTTATCTCCAAAGCTTTACTATTTAAACAGTCCTTTAAACAACTTGTACTGAGCAAATTATCTCAAACTAAATTATCATACTAACAATCTTCTACAAAAACCACAAATATTAACCCACACAGATTAAGTAACTGAATTTAACTACCTGAAATCCATTCTTCTCCGCTGATCTCCTGGATCACAACTGTAGACATCTTTTTAATTTTAAAAATAGTGGATTTGTAATGATCCATTCCTGATATTTTGTAGCTTGTTAAAACAAGATATGCATCCAAAGGGAAAAATAATGCTGTGCTGCAAACTTATTGTATCCAAAATCTTATCTATATCTGAGCGCAGTGTTGCTTCTCATAAACCTATGCTGTGGCACATCCAGTGTACATAATGGTAAAAGATACACTTGCCAGAAATTACCATTCAAAAGAAAATAAAGCACTAAATTACTGTTTTAAAAGAGGGTGTAATCCCACTGTAAGCAAGGACAATTTCATGTAACTCTTGAAGTTTTCAATCATCTATTTGTTATAGATACAATCCACACAGAGCTCTGAGCAAGCAGCCAAGAACAAAAGAAAGTCTGGTTATACTTTCTACTTTACTCTCTTAATAGCAATGTCTTCATTATTTATATATATCGGCACTGGTTTCCAGCAGCTGAAGCCAAATCTATCTGGTTAAATATTCATTGTCTCCTCCTGTGCCATAATGTCCAACTGTACTCAAAAGAATCCTAGGTGTGCTGTTACACACCTGTGGCTAAAAGAAGGGATTTGCTTAGCTAAGTTTGATAAAAGGCCTATGTCTGAAACTTAACAGCACTTGATATGGTTTCTGAATGCCTCACCAGCTGGTCAATATAACATAACACTCAAACACAATTTAACATTCTGGCTCTGCCGCTGAAAAGCTTTTAGAGTTCACCTCAACTGATGTCGTGATAGAGGGGTTTTACCTCTGCTCTGGAACATGTGCTTTGCATATATAAGGTCCCATGTTCAATCCCTGGCATCCAGTTAAGGAACTTATGCAACAGGGCTGAAAAGATCACACCATGAATCCTAGAGAGCTACAGAATATCAAGGTTGGCACTACTAGGCTACAGGGACTATTAATCTAATTCTGCAGATGGCATTTCCTTCATGTTCATTACTTATCACTATATCAAAATGTGTTTAAAGGATGGTTGATACATTTGTAGATTGGTATTTTAAGAAAAACTTTAACAACCTAATCAAGAGTTATTTCAATGACACAACACCACTCAGTATTAGGTTGTAGGATTTCAGCACTGCTATATATTCCTAGCTGTCATGCCATTCTGCTGGGGAGAGGGCAACTCTATTCAATCCTCTTGCATTCCAACCTCATGAAAATGCATGAGTGACATCTCCCCTTTTGATCCTTTTTTGGCAAAGGGGATTGGTGCCAAGATAGTTGAGGCTGAATTGGACTCCCAGAAAAAAATATGCTCCCTGCACAATTCACTTTCTTCTCAAGATCCTTTGGGCGATAAAGAGCAATACCCCTTTCAACAAAAGCAGAATGTGGGATGAGGAGGAATGGCAATGCATCTTTAGATCAATGTTATTCCTTCCTTCATAATCACTTTTAGGCCCTAACAAGTGAAGACTAGCATCAGTATAAGCAAAGTACGCTGCCAGAGCCCAATTTCTGTTCTTATCCTGAAGCAAAGTTCTTAACCTGAAGCACTATTTCTGGGTTAGCGGAGTCTGTAACCTGAAGCGTATGTAACCCGAGATACCAATGTACTTTTACTTGTGGAGTTGCTAAGATTGCCAAGGGCAAATGATCTAGAGCCTTCAGGATTTGGTGGATGGAGGGTTTGGAGCTGGGGTGTATTCTTAGTTAGGTGTTGTGGTTTCCTTTTGGGAATATGACTTCCCAGAAATTGCTGGTGCCAGACTGGAATCTCCTTTTCTGAGAAGGTTTCACCCAGTTCTGGTTCTGGACATGGGCTGGCCCTGACATGCACATGTGCAAGACTTGCTCAGTGTGTTTAGAGGCATTTGGTGGGGACGACAGAGGCCTTTCTTCAGTGGTATGGATTGTCTACCATGGGGGTAGTACCTCTCCCACCTGGTTATTTTAGCACTACTTTCCACTGCTCACACATGGACTCTGCACACATGCTCAACAGCAAACTTTGGGATCTCAAAGGAATGCATTCCCAAAAATTCAGAAGAATTGGGGAAATGACCATAATAAGGACTAGTTAGTAATTATTTCCCTGGTGTAAATTCACTTATTTAAGGGAGCTCCAAAAATGTACCCCATGGAACTGAAAAATCTGACTAAAATCATGTTAGAGCCATTATCAGCCATTCAGGGGGATTTTACAGTTCTTTCTTAAGTTTTCAAAAGCTGAATAGAGAATCCCTTGGAGAACTAATTTGAATTTATATTATATTTATTTTTAGAATTTATATCTTAGCTTTCCACAAACATTAGAAATATAATTTGAAACTGGTTGGGGGGGGGGGACTAGACAAAATTTCTCTAATCATCAAAGCAAATGTATTAAGAACAAGTGATGCCATACAAATTACAGTCTAATCCAAACCTCAGAAGCAGAATAATTTATATTAATGCTAATTTTGAGGGCAATCCTAGACTCCCAGCGTCAAAGGAAGATGTCTAATTTCTTGCTGCAATGATGGGAGGTGGTCAGTAACTCAAAGAGTTTCAGGCAGCAAGGCTGAAAAAGATCTCTCTCTTCCAAAGATCTTGAAGACCTACTGCCAGTCACAGCACTGGCCAAGACAAACCAGTAACACAATAAGGGCAACTTTATACAAACAGTGTGTCAAGCAAGTGGTACATCATTTTAAATTCCACTTGGAAGCCAAAGCTATAGATAAATAAGGACACCACTGTTTTCAAAAGAAGCAGCAATATTCCCCCTTATAGAAGTAAAGAACAGTATCCAATGGAGCACAATAGTTTGCAGTACAAAGGGAAAACCAAGAACGACCCTGTTAATCCCTGGAAGGTTTCTTATAAATTAATTATTTTTTGAGGGAATTTATACCCCTCTCTTCCAATATAAGTCCTGTGCTCCGGGCTGCTTAGTTGATTAAAAACAGCTAGAAGAATGAATTAATGCAACTTTAAAAATTAAACAATGCTTTCGAGCTTGATCTTAAGCACACTGAGTTTCAGTCCTCAAATTTACATTCTAACTACCCCAGTGACTTCTAAATAACTGCATAAGTGACTTTAGGCACAACCCCCAAATGGCTTTTACTGAACAACTGTGCTCTTATGCAAATTATTTTCATTTCAAAAAGTTACACAAAAGATGATAGACAGCAGCAAGTGTTTCCAGGATTTTAAAATTGTAATAATTGTAAAAGCAGCATTCTTTCTTTTCATCAAAATAAACTGCAGCAGCATTCCCAGAACATTGGCTTGGATACACATTATATTATTCTGACCTTATGTACTTTTTATTATTTTCTATCAGCTATTAAGCTGGGAACACAAGATTGGGTGAGTGTTCTTAAAACACCATTTACTTTTGAGTAGTGCAAACTAAGTCACAGAGTAGATCCACTGAAATCGAAGGACTTAAGTCAGTCAAAACTAAGTTATGATTTCCATGGGTCTACCCTGAGTATAACTTACTCAGACACTGCCCTGTGTATATTAGTATATAACTCATGCAATATGAATACAGCGAGCAACTAAAATGAAATAAGCATTTAAAGAAAATTTAGGCTTACATTTATAACATTCCTTTTGTATTAATAATAAAAACCATATTATATGTGCAGTGGGACATAATTATATTAATCAATGTTTACAGATTAAAGGTCAATAAGGTCTACAGTTTTACATTATCTAACCAGCTTCTATTAGGGTTTTGTTATGTAATGGCATGTGTCTTGCAAGCTTTTGCATGCTAACTTGAATGTATGGGTTTTATCCAACACTCCAGAAGCAGAGCTCCTCTTCTCCCCCTGTGCACCCCAAAATATATGGGAAGAGAGGTCAGGGAAGTTCAATTGAGCATGTGAGAAATGTTGCATAAGCAGAACAGCAGCACTGAATACAACCCAATGTATTAGTGTTCATGGGGCTTGCTCACTAATAAATTTAAGGTTGCATTTTTACCCATTAAGATTATACTGTGAGCTCTCTGGATACAGCTATAAATATGCAGGTGAACTTGCTGAGGCCCAGTTGGGGTAAAAGAGGCTACAAATAATATAGCTATTATACAACAGACTCTTCCTCCTAATATGATCCCATATTGCAATATTAAAGAGAAAAAGCAATTAGTGAGGAAGATATTATTAATTTTCAACATACATCATGAGCAAAATGCAAAACAAATATATACTTAATGCTAATACTTTGCTTAAGAGAGAATTTTCATGTATCACATAGGTGTCCAAAAGGTTGGTTTCTTTTTGATTAATTTTTGTTAGAAATTCAATTTCCATTGTTTGCCTTTAATTGAAAAGGATCAACTACTACTGACTTTAGTGAAAACCAGGTCACATTACATAGTATCTGTGTATCTTCCTCACCACTATAAACATATAAAGTATGAAGTGGAGAAGTTGCATCATCAAACATGTGGTGATGTGCATCATGTAACCGCAGCCAATTGCAGCTCCATGGTGAAAATCTTCAGCATGTCCCCAGTATCTCATCATGTGCATCTCCTCTTTAGACTTTATATAGTTTACAAAAGCAACAACAGGAAAACGCCCATGTTCCAGCAGTACTGCCAAACTGACTTGCACTCATAATGCACCTCAGCAATGCAACCCAGTTGAACATAAAATACCAAAACATAAATGATCTGAGACAAAAAAAAGGTTCTAACCACTTTATCCTCCTGGAGAGCATATCCATGACAGCAAGTAAGAAAGAACAAGAAAAGAGAAAAGAGAAAAAGAAAGTTACTTCTATTCTGAAACCTCCCCCCACCAGTAATATCTGTTAGTATATAGACTGCAAAGAAACTATCATTATAAAAGCTGTATGAAATATATATTGCCAAGAGCTGTGTGTGTCTTAATAGAAATGAGTACAATACCTCCCAGCAGTAATATCTAATATCTCAGTCCTCCAGAAACATCAGTATCACTGAAGATTCTACACTACACAGAAATTGCAGACTACAAGGAGTCAAAACCATCTAGGCATAATTCTAGGATGCAGTACTGGTCATAGAATCAAACTTTCTATGAAAGTTACCTTTCATATAAAAAAACAAAAATTAGAAAGATTCCAGACATTACAGCTATGAAGATACGGTGAAAGTCTGCAGTCAATACCTGCTGAAATCTCATAAATGAGGGTGCATGTCTAAATAATTTTTCCAAAGTTTAGGAGAGGGTCTTTGGTAACCTACAGGCTTCTTGCCCATCCACTAGCTTAACAAAACAAGTATTATAAATTATACAAAGTTGCTTGATTCTCACAATTTATATCGAATGAAGAATTTAGGTATATTGAAGAATATGGAATACAATTTTAGATGGGAGTCCTATACTCCAGCTCTACAATTCTATGATTCAATGCTCCCACTGTCTACATCTCTCCCTTCTTTGCTAGTTCGAGCAAATTTTAGTTTATGCGGAGTTTAATTCAGGCAAACTATGATTTTCCATAAAACCATACCTGAAAACCATGGTTTGAAATTTGCTTTCCACCCATCATATTTTGCCTATTTTGGCCTCTGTTGCAAAATACAGTGTGGGAAGTATGCAAGCCCAAAGTCCATTCATGACATTATTGCTGAAGAAGGCTACAGTCTGGTCAACTTCCATTTCATAAGAAACCCAGAACTGGTAAAGCCTATTCTAGGCCAGTATTTGCACATATATTCCATTCCTTTTCCTGATATGCTGTTTGTCATAACTTTTTCCTAGCTGGGGCATCTCTGGAAGTGTTTTGTGGATTCTATCTGCCTGTCTTGATTTTGTGGAATTCTCCCATTTGAAGTGCTAACCCTTCATTACTAGGCAGAAGTACCTTGCTCAAACACATTGTATTATGAATACCTTAAACAACTCCTATGGCTATGCTTCTTTGCTATTAATCTGTAGGAGGGTGCAGAGTGGTCACTTTTTTTCTCTATCCTGAGTTTTTCACTATTAAAAGAGCACAAGGTTAAGATTGGGAAATCCAGCTTGCAGCTGCAGCTTCCTACTATAGGGCAGATGCTTGTCCCTACTCCTTTTTGTCAATATGATTCAGGCCTCATAGGATTCACTTGCCTTCCAGCCTTTGGAAAATGGGCCTTAATTCCTAGAACTCTATACTTACTCAGTTATGTATATGGGCCTCAGCCTTCATTTCCTCCTGGGAAAAGTACATTAAAGAAACATTTTCTAAAATGATTAAATATTTTATACCATCCACAATGTGGAAAATGTACTGGGATGTTAAACTTGTGTGCTTTCACTTTGCTGCCCACTTCCTACATGCCACTACGTCACTAGCCTGAGGTCAATCAGTACACATCAGTTGAAAATTCATAAATCCTTTTGCTATTTCTATTGGGAGTATGACCTCTATTGGAAGTATGACCTATAAACTGAAAATCAGTCAGAAGTGTGAAATTTGTTGTGAATTTTAGAAACACAGCATTATTGAAACAGAGAGACATCATTTGGTCACATGATCAGTATAGAAAGTGCTGTTGACTTATGAACTTTGGTGAGAAGAGTCTCACACCGCAGTCTGCAAGTATGGCAGGATATTTTTCAAAAGCTGTGGTATGGTAAGCAGACGTGCACCCATCTCCTTGAATGCGTGGCAAAGTTCTTCACCCTACCCACCCTTTTCCACAGGCCACTTTGATTTGCACCCATCAACCTTAAAATTACAAAGGAGGGTGGGAGCTGCAAAAAGTTCAAGAATTGGACTTTCTGTTCTTTCAGCTGGCAAGCCAGATGCATATTTGATCTAGCCAGCTTTCCTGTTGCAGCTTTGTCTATTAAAAAGGAATGGGCTGAATCAAATATGGTTGATTGCCAGCATGATTCAGAACAATAAAAGTTAGGGAGGGGAGCAAGTAATGGGTGGCTGCTAACTTTGGGTTAAACTATTGAGTTATAAATATTATTATATTATTATATATATATTATTAAAATATTATAAATATATGTAGCATTTCACCTTTTTTTACAATGTGCTATTGTTTATTAGCACTGCTGTATAGAAGGTCAAATGTGCTGTTTTGTTTTTATCATGCTCTGAGTGATTTATTTTTTGTAGAATCAATGGCTGTTGACTAACTGATAAAGATTTTTGACTTTGCAAAAGTGCTAATGCTAAGATTTAACTCAATTTCCCAAGTGGTATAGCCAAAATGGTACCATCTATGGATAGCAGGAAGATCTCAAGGTCTGCGAAAGTACAAAAATATTTAGCAAAAATCCTTAAGGAGGGCAAAACCAAGACAATGGGGACTAAGCATTCAGAAGGTCCAAAATACTGATTGATTGTTGTGGTGAAACAGAAAACCAGGCAGAAGGGACAATGGAGTGGGTATTCTGTCCAAACATTGGCCTTAGCAGTTCAGGGGTTCTGACTAAAAACAAATGTTCAGGGTTGGAGAAGCAGAGCAAGGCGAAGGAGGGTGACCAAGATGATAGAGCCTGGAATCCAAGCCTTATGAGGAATGGTTGAGGGAACTGTGTATGTTTAGCCTGGTAAAGAGAAGACCAATATGATAGGTAAAGGTAAAGGGACCCCTGACCATTAGGTCCAGTCGCGGACGACTCTGGGGTTGTGGCGCTCATCTCGCTTTACTGGCTGAGGGAGCTGGCATACAGCTTCCGGGTCATGTGGCCAGCATGACTAAGCCGCTTCTGGCGAACCAGAGCAGCGCAAGGAAACGCTGTTTACCTTCCCGCTGGAGCGGTACCAATATGATAGCCATCTTCAAATAGCTAAAGGGCTGTCACATGGAAAATGGAGCAAGCTTGTTTTCTGCCACTCCGGAGGGTAGGACCCAAACCATTGGATTCAAGTTACAAAAAAGGATATTCCAACTAAACATCAGGAATAATTTTCTGACAGTAAGAGCTGTTTGACAGTGGAACAGACTCCCACGAGGTGGTGTGCTCGCCTTACTTGGAAGTTTTTAAGCAGAGATTTGATGTCATGGATGTTTTAGCTGAGATTACTGCATTATAGGGGGTAAGAGCTGTTTGACAGTGGAATGGACTCCCTCGGAAGGTGGTGGACTCTCCTTTCATTGGAGGTTTTTAAGAAGAGGCTGGGTGGTCATTTATCCTTTTCAGTAAGAAAACAGCTGGTGAAGAAATGGTTAATACTCCCTCCTGCCATGTAATGCCATGATCCAGATGCCTAACCTTGTACCTCTGGCCAAGAGAAGAAATGGACTTAGTACACTAGCTTTTCAGATACTTAATCCAACCTTCCAAATAAGTTCACAAAAGCCAAAGGCCTCTCACAAAAACTTATTTGTATACTTACCAACTCATGTGAGAGGAAAAACAGTTCTTTAATTTAATCTCCTACCCTTAAAAGCCATGAGCGAAACAGCTGGTCTGCAACTATCAGGTTATTTAAAAATATCTGATATGCATTTCTACCTAGAAGCCAACCATGTTAAGTTCAAATGGACTTAGTCCTTTGTAAATTGGTATAAGATTCCTGGCTTAATCCATGGTTTCTGAACAAAGGCTGCAATTATGATGCGGAAAGGGTCTTTACAGACACTAATTCTTCCACGTAATCACTTAAAAATTAAGACAAAACAATCTGATGTGGACCTCACAGATCTGGAATAACATATATTCTCAAAGTAATAGCAATAAACAATACCAGAATAAAATATCAGGAATACTCATTGTAATATATTTTCTTACCTTGTTTGAGCGTAATGACACTCTTCCTCCACAACGTGCACAGAATTTAGTTTGGCAATATGAACAATTATGGCCACAGCCATCGGCAAATTTCGTTTTGTGGCAGATACCACACGTTGGAGCATCACCCTTCTGCTCCAGGTGTTGCTGTGATTCTTCACCCATCTTTTTCACCTGTTCTTTATACATTTCAAACTGTTGATGCAATTTCCTGCAGAAGCAAACAATAGAAGATTTATAATACAAAGACAGCAATAAGAAAATAGGTCTGTCAGTTATTACATTTTAAATATTTCAATATTTTATTAACCAACTAATCACATTATTATAGCACACACTGCATCAACATATTAGGATTAGTTGGATAGTATTTCCTCATAGTAGTCTAATTGAACTAGATAAAACATTCTGAGCCAAATATACCTGTGCAACTCTATGAGACTTAGATATAAGAATTCAGCATGCAGTTTAGGAAGAAGACTAATGGTAACTCCTTTCCGTAACACAGCACAAAGCATAGACTACCAATGAGCTACAGCCCTTGCCCATAGGTAGGTACACTGTTGAAGGTCCCACTCTCATCTGCTCTGGGTGGCAAAACAGAACAGTCAGACTGCTGCAGCATTGGTTCCAGTTTGCTGAACTTCTGCCCATCCTGTAACCCTTAAAAATAACAGGAATAATTTCTGAACTGGGAGGTGGCAACCTGAGCATTAAAAAGAGCAAGGGAATGGAGTTTGCAAGTATGTGCCAGTGCCTGTTGCTTCACTACTAACCCACAACAGACAAGCACAAGGAATAGTGGATTTGGTATTTTGAGCTTTTAAAACTATATTAGGTAAATGTACATAAAGGAAAAAGGCATAAAATCCATTGAAACAATAATATTTCACTAATGTGGAAATTATAAACAATTTTTAAACTAATAACAGCCTTCTGAAGGCAACTGCATATTATGAAATCAGACCAAATAACTGGAAGAGGAACTGGAAGAAGAAAATGAATTGTTTTGGCAGACCTGCCTGCTTGCCCTTTTTGTTCACAATGTTCAGTACTGAATAAAGTTTGTCTTTGTTTACTAATCTTGCAAATATGGCTCCCTGCCAATATGCCATCCAGCAAGTGCTTTGTAAGTACAATGTTTAGTGTGGGACTCAAAAGCAAATGTGTAGAAGAGAACCATATGGTCAATTAAAATTGTGAGACCAATGCTAAGTTACATATTATTCTTTATATATTTATGGTGTAACTATGATTTGCACTTATTACTGTAAGCTTCCTCAGAATGCATACATCTGTTTTGATCTCTTCACTAAAGTCGTTTCATTGCTTACTTTTTCAGCTAGAGACACCATGAGAATTCTTTACCTATTTCAAAACAGAATTTATCTTGTCCGGCTGATAATACTTACCTGCATTACATATCTAATGCTGTTTACCTTTATAATTAGTATCTATCTCTCATTGATATTTACGAACTTAGCCATGCTATAAATCTTAACCAGTTGACTTAATGAATTTCATCACATCTTGACTTATATTTGACTTGAAACTTTACTTGTCCATAGAATCCAAAAAAGCATTAATCAGCAATTTCTTATAAAATCAATTAAGAAGGTACGCTTTAAAAAATTCAGCATGCACAAATTTTACTTCATATGCACAACTTTGTACCTTCCCCCCCACAACATGCTTTCAGTAAGCTATACTTTTAGTGTATTCATAAAGTGGTTAACCCACTGTAAAAGGGTCACAATATTTAAAAACTGATGGTGCAAAAATAACAAAATTAAGCATTAGTGCATTTATGAAAAGTCTGTCATTTCAGCTAATATATTATGTACAGCAGATAAGAGCCATCTGTTTGAAGCCAAAAAATCTGTTACTACTGAGAAGATATTACCCACACTAGTAAATGCAGAATTAACTGTCTGTAAGACTTCATCTCACGTGACAAAAATAAACAAGTGCCAAATAATAGATCAGTCTACCTTAACTCAGAAATATAACACCCCTGGACATTACAGTATCAGGATTAGAATGAGTTCATTCCACATCATTTACAACATTCATGAGAATGTTCAATTATTAAATAACTTGTATCCTTTTACTGCTGCAACAGTATTGTTCTTACTTGATGGCTTTCCTTTTTAATGAATAGGAGATAAGCATGGACAATGCTGGGTGTGCTAGCATAGTCAGGGATCAGGAGTGTTTACCACTCCATCATCTAATCTTACGCTGTTCAGAGCTGTGTATGTGTGACCAGGGGGGTGGGGCGGGGGGAGGCCTGGAGTAATACATGTTGCTTTAGCCAATTATGCCCTGCACTTGTACAGTTGGTGATGCAATGATTTTAGTGCAGCAGATTAAAATTGTTTCTATAATTAAAACCAAGTTTAAAAAATAGGGCAGAGGCACTGGCAGCAAACAATAATACACACAGATAATTATTTGACAACAGGGGGCAAAACATGATAAAGCCAAGCTCTCACATAGTGAGGGAGATAGGAAAATAAACTTAGATCGGGGATAAATGTCTGACCTTGCTACATATTGAAACAGCAACTCCCAACAACAGATACAATTATACCACAAGTACAATTCAAGCATTTACCAAGCCACTGAAAGTCTTTACATTGTGTGGGGAAAGATGCAACTCGTCACCTCCACGACATAGACAGTACTATGTATGAACCAGACACTCTATACAGAGACCCAACTGTGCAGATGGACAGTTCACATGATCTTCAGCAATCATGGTCAGGGGTGGTAGAAGTTGTAGTCAAATAACATCTGAAGACCACAGGTTCCCTAATCCTACTCTAGCAGCTACCAAGCACAAGCCTCACACATTATAGGTAAAAGATAAAGGACCCATGGACAGTTAAGTCCAGTCAAAGGCGACTATAGGATTGCGGCGCTCATCTTGCTTTCAGGCTGAGGGAGCCGGCGTTTGTCCACAGACAGCTTTCCAGGTCATGTGGCCAGCATGACGAAACCACTTCTGACACAACGGAACACCATGACGGAAACCAGAGCGCACAGAAACACCTGTCACGGCAATACCTATTTATCTACTTGCATTGCTGTGCTTTTGAACTGCTAGGTTGGCAGCAGCTGAGACAGAGCAATGGGAGCTCACCCCATCGCGCAGATTCAGACCGCTGACCTTCTGATAAGCAAGTGGTTTAGATCACAGCACCACCAGCTCCCATAACACATTACAGTATAAGACACTGCTATTAAGGGTGTTGGGGGAACACACTCAAAATGAGGATAAACTATTAATTTCATTTATTAAAAGAATGCAAACTTGTTACCCAGGTAGAATAGCATCTGCTTTGCATGCAGAAAGTCCTAGATTTGATCCCCAGCATCTCCAGGTAGGGCTGGGGATGTTTCCTGTCTGCAACCATGGAAAGTCATTGCCCATCAGCATAAATGCTGAGCTAGATGAGCCAGGGGCCCTAAGTCAGTTTAATGTAGCTTCCTATGTTCCTGCCTGACTTTTTAATTACAGCCAGTTCTGGGGGTGGCACCAGAAAATTGGAGCAAAACAAGATTTAGTTGGCACGTAATTGATTCTGTTAACCCTTCTGCCTTCTACCCTACCAGTTCTAATGGGCACCAGCCACTACAGTTCCAGAATATGTATCACTTTAAACTTGCTTAAATTAAAGCACAAAGGTGCTCTTGCCCTACAGCCTGTTTAACAGAGTTTAACAGAGTCGCCATCCCTGGTGGTTCCCATCCCTAGTAGATTTGTGGTCCCAGTCCCTGGTACACACTGTCTCTATTCCCATCCTTTTTAATGAATGTATTTAGGTATGCAACACACAAGAAAGAGAAAAAATGGGAAGAAAAAATAATCCTCCCAATGGCCCACCCCACACAGTGTTAACAGTCCATGAGTAGTTCACAGAAGTTCTTTACTGAAGTCTACTATAGTGCTTATATGAAGTCCAATATTGTCCAGTGGCAGGAGATGTGAACAAGCAAGAAGACCAATACATACCCTTCCGTCAACCATGTCATGAAGGTCTATTTTCCCTTTTCGTTAGATTCTGCAGGAGCCTTTTCAAAACTTTTGTTAGTATGAGTTGAAAGTATTGTCATTGAGAATGAGGTACATGACATCTCCAGGAATACACATATAAATGTACCCACAGAATGAAGGAATCTACACAGATACAGAAACCCAACCAAGGGGGCACTTCCAGACCGTCACTATTTTCAGGAGGGATTCAATCAAATGCTGGTAAATTAAGGTTGCTCAATTAAAGCTGATTTGGAACTCTTGTGCCACAAACCTGCTCCCCCAAAAGATTGGACTTTGAAAAAAACACACCAAAACTTCAGAATAGTTTCTAATTTTCCACATGAGTGGCTTCAGATATCATTAAGTGTTTCATTACAGCCTCACAGTACCACCCTTCTTTGCTTTGTTTGGATACGTAATGAGTAATAGATTGGGACTGTGAATATGTTAAAAGAAAGAATACAAAATCATATGGATGGGAAAGAGTTGCAAGGATTGACTTTTTATTATAATAGTTAATTTAAAATGTTCATCTTTCTATGAATTTGTCTTGTTGATTATTTGGAATTCTTCTCAGATATGTCCATATATTCTGTAACCACTCTTTTAATGTTGGAGCCGTTTTTTTTTTCTTTCCAAAGCTGACCAATGCATAATCTTGCTCCTGGTAATAAACTAGCAACCAATTTTAGGTCGGTATTTTTCACTTCTGTTTTTAATATACACAAAAGGGTATTCTTAGAGCTTCTTGACATATTAAATCCTCTAATTTCCTGAACTGTGTTGAGAACCAAATTCCAGATTTGGTTTGTTGTTGTTTTTTACACAACTCCAGAAAATATGAAGATAGCCAGCCCTTAATCTCCTACATCTCCAGCAAAATAAGTTTATCTTAATTTATAGGGTGTAAGATACCACTGATTGGTGGGCTTTTAAAAACTTTCATTTAGATTAGTGCTTATTAATGTTTTTGATATTGTTTTAAAAATCCATATCCACTATGTTTGTCTTATGGTCAAACTTTCAGGCAGTTGACCACATGCAGCATCTTTTGTTGGAACCAGATTTGTAAGTTTATAGTAGAATACAGTTGATTCTCTGTAAACTCATTTATTAGCATGGATGTTAAGGGTGATAAACTCAGTGCCATTTTCTATGGCAGGGAAAGA